TGTTTTCTCTACACACAGTTTGTCTACACGTGATTTGTCTACACTCTGTTTGTCTACACTCAGTTTGTCTACACACGGTTTGCCTACGCTCTGTTTGTCTACACTCGGTTTTCTATCCACAGTTTGTCTACACTCGGTTTGTTTACACTCAGTTTGTCAACCCGCGGTTTGTCTACACTCGGTTTGTCTACACTCTGTTTGTCTACACATGATTTGTCTACACTCTGTTTGTCTACACTCAGTTTGTCTACGCTCGGTTCGTCTACACTCTGTTTGTCTACACCCAGTTTCTCTACACACGGTTTGTCTACACTCGGTTTCTCTACACTCTGTTTGCCTACATTCAGTTTGTCTACACATGATTTGTCTGCACTCAGTTTGACTACACGCGGTTTGTCTACACTCTGTTTGTCTAAATTCAGTTTTCTACGCTCTGTTTGTCTACACTCGGTTTGTCTACACTCTGTGTGTGTACACATGGTTTGTCTACACTCTGTTTGTCTACACTCGGTTTGTGTACATACAGCTTGTATATACTCACTTTGTCTACACACGGTTTGTCTACACTCTGTTTGTCTACACTCGGTTTGTCTACTCTCGGTTTGTCTACACTCAGTTTGTCTACACTCTGTTGTCTACCCTCAGTTTGTCTACACACAATTTGTCTACACTACGTCTGTCTTCAAACTATCTACACACGGTTTGTCTACACATGGTTTGTCTACACTCGGTTTGTCTACACTCGGTTTGTCTACGCTCTGTTTGCCTACAATCTGTATGTCTACATTCTGTTTGCCTACGCTCTGTTTGCCTACACTCTGTTTGTCTACACACGGTTTGTCTACACGCAGGTTGTCAACACACAGTTTGTCTACACACGGTTTGTCTACACACAGTTTGTATACACACAGTTTGTCTACACACGGTTTGTCCACACTCGGTTTGTCTACACTCTGTGTGTGTACACTCTGTGTGTGTACATATTGTTTGTCTACACTCGGTTTATGTACATACAGTTTGTATATACTCACTTTGTCAACACACGGGTGTGTCTACACACAGTTTGTATACACACAGTTTGTCTACACACGGTTTGTCCACACTCGGTTTGTCTACACTCTGTGTGTGTACACTCTGTTTGTCTACACTCTGTTTGTCTACACTCGGTTTGTGTACATACAGTTTGTATATACTCACTTTGTCAACACACGGGTGTGTCTACACTGTTTGTCTACACTCGGTTTGTGTACATACACTTTGTAGATACTCACTTTGTCAACACACGGGTGTGTCTACGCTCTGTTTGTCTACACTCTGTTTGTCTACACACGGTTTGTCTACACCCAGTTTCTCTACACACGGTTTGTCTAAACTCGCTTTCTCTACAGTCGGTTTGCCTACATTCAGTTTGTCTACACATGATTTGTCTACACTCTGTTTGTCTACACTCAGTTTGTCTACACACGGTTTGCCTACGCTCTGTTTGTCTACACTCGGTTTTCTATCCACAGTTTGTCTACACTCGGTTTGTTTACACTCAGTTTGTCAACCCGCGGTTTGTCTACACTAGGTTTGTCTACACTCTGTTTGTCTACACATGATTTGTCTACACTCTGTTTGTCTACACTCAGTTTGTCTACTCTCGGTTTGTCTGCACTCGGTTTTTCTACACTCGGTTTGTCTACACTGTCACTCTCGGTTTTTCTACACTCGGTTTGTCTGCTCAGTTTGTCTACTCGGTTTGTCTACACTCAGTTTGTCTACACTCTGTTGTCACACTCAGTTTGTCTACACTCGATTTGTGTACACTCAGTTTGTCTACTCTCAGTTTTTTCTACACTCTGTTTGTCTACACTCAGTTTGTCTACTCTTTGTCTACACTCGGTTTGTCTACACTCAGTTGTCTACACTCAGTTTGTCTACACTCAGTTTGTCTACACTAAGATTGTCTACAAACCATCTACACACGGTTTGTCTACACTCAGTTTGTCTCCACACACGGTTTGTCTACACTCGGTTTGTCTACGCTCTGTTTGCCTACGCTCGGTTTGTCTACACTCGGTTTGTCTACACTCAGTTTGTCTACGCTCTGTTTGTCTACTCGGTTTGTCTACACTCAGTTTGTCTAGTTTGTCTCACTGTTGTCTACACTCGTTTGTCTACACTCGATTTGTGTACACTCAGTTTGTCTACTCTCAGTTTTGTCTACACTCGGTTTGTCTACACACTCAGTTTGTCTACTCTCGGTTTGTCTACACTCTGTTTGTCTACACTCTGTTGTCTACACTCAGTTTGTCTACACACAATTTGTCTACACTAAGATTGTCTACAAACTATCTACACACGGTTTGTCTACACTCAGTTTGTCTACACACGGTTTGTCTACACTCGGTTTGTCTACGCTCTGTTTGCCTACGCTCGGTTTGTCTACACTCTGTTTGCCTACACACAGTTTGTCTACATCTACACTAATGGTTTGTCTACACTCTGTTTGCCTACACTTGGTTTGTCTACACTCTGTTTGTCTACACACAGTTTGTCTACACACAGTTTGTCTACACACAGTTTGTCTACACACGGTTTGTCTACACACAGTTTGTCTACACACGGTTTGTCTACACACAGTTTGTCTACACACGGTTTGTCTACACTCTGTTTGTCTACACTCGGTTTGTGTACACACAGTTTGTATATAGTCAGTTTGTCTACACACGGTTTGTCTACACTCTTTTTATGTACACATGTTTTCTCTACACACAGTTTGTCTACACACGGTTTGTCTACACTCGGTTTGTCTACGCTCTGTTTGTGTACACATGGTTTGTCTCCAGTAAGCTTACCTACATTCTGCATGCCTACTGACCGTTTGCCTACACTCAGTATTCCTAAAGTCAGTTTGTGTACACTCTTTGTGTCTGTATTCAGTTTGCCTGCTCACTGTTTGCCTATACACGGTTTCTAAAATCGTTTGCTCATAGTATATCCCATCAGTTATGGATTCATGAATGTACAATGTATTCTATTACAAAATACCGTGAGCCTGACCATCTGATCCATCAAGACAGACACATGTTGCTGAGAACACAAAATACCCACGAGTATATAATCTGTCTGAATATCAGGAAATAGATATGTTATTTCAGCTTGGGGGATACTTCGTAAGATATCAACACAGGCGAGCGGAGAATGCCATTTCTACCCTGATATGATATTATATTAATATACATAAATCATACAAAACCCATATTGGTTACACCTACTTGGGTTGTCAATCCAGATTTGAAGAGGTCATCCTGCGACGATGTCGCATTGGCCATACAAGATATACTCATGAGTACCTATTAAAAGGTGAGTATCCTCCGTTTTGTATCCCTTGTGATGAAAGAATCACGGTCAAGCATGTCCTGCTTGACTGTGTTGAATATTCCATCACAAGGGATATCTATTTCAAATCACAAACTATGAAGGATCTTTTTAGTAATATAAGTTCTCATTTAATTATTGTTTTTTAAAAAAAATAGACTTGTTAACTGATTTGTAAATAGATACATATTTTATTATTGGTAGTTTAGATTAGTAACTGAGATTGTTAGTGGCTGTATCCTCAAAGGGGTTGAAGTAGCATAAAATTATTGTCCTCCTGCGAGGGTACGTAAGTCCCAAAACATTTCAAGTCAATTTAAGTGTACCAGGTTTTTAATCGTAGTATTTTTTTTGTTTTTAATGTATGCCTAAATCTCAGCATCAACGCCAATGGCTGAAGGGATGGTGTAAATCCAGCTGGGGTCCATGCAGGTAGCAAACGTAATGTAAGTCCCTATAGGCCCTAGTGTGGTGATCTACCTTCAGTTGTTGGCGATCTATAGCCCGTATTTTATATTGTATTGTCTTCTTTGATTGGAATATTTTGCTCGCTACTTTGCTCGCTAGTTTTATATTTATATCTGTGATTCTCTAGTCTTTTTACTGTCCATCGTCGACAGGTTTTAATCTTCAAAATGTTTCCACTTTTTATTGTATGGATTGTTTTCGTCACGATATGGCTGAGATATTGCCGATGTGACGTTAAATAGTAACTCACTCACTCATAAATCATACATGATCCTCACCTTAAACCAAAGCTATGCTACAACCCTACCATTTCTAAGATATTTTTTCAGCAGTATCTCCCACTGATCAGTTGGAAGGTTATCATTTTAAAACGTTTTTCAACAAAACATAGAATAATAATAAGGTAACACCAGGTTTGTGGTTCTGTGCATAGAGCTCAGGTCACAAATCAGTTAAGCAACGGGTGCGGAGAGTCCTTGGATGGGTGACCGTGTGTGACAGCTTGACTCCTGAGAGTTTCTATGACTTCAGTCCTGCCCCACAACGAAGCACATGTGATACATGTGGTCTCACTGTAGGCAAATGAGTTTGTTCAAAATTGCCTCTGTTCACCCAGCAGAAAATGGGTACCCGGTGAAGTCTATTAACCTTCTAGCGCAGCAGGCACCTTGGGTTATCCGGGGTAATAATGATCAGGTTGTGGGCTTGAAGCAGGATATCTAACCTTGGAAAGGCGCGTTAAAAATATTCTCATTTTTATTATAATCAACACGAACTTGGGCAAAATCGTGTTTGTGAGTATGGTTGTTTGTTGTGAGTGAGTGAGTGAGTGAGTGAGTGAGTGAGTGAGTGAGTGAGTGAGTGAGTGAGTGAGTGAGTGAGTGAGTGAGTGAGTGAGTGAGAGTGATTTCAGTTTTACGCCGCTTCTGGATACTGGAAATTCTTTTACACATTGTACCAATGTGGGAAATCGAACCCGGATCTGCGGCGTGACGAGAGAACGCTTTCACCACTAGGCTACCCCACCGTCCCTGTTTATTATGAAACTAATACGTGCGCTTGGTACTCATAAAGATGGATAACAAGGAAAGTTGCAACTCGAATAAACAATTACTTTCAGATGTTGATTGTTACTTTCTGTAAACTGGACATTGCCGGACTATAAGGAACTTGATGGACGGGGATGCAATAGAAGCCTTCAGAGCTTGCTAGGATGCAGGAGTTTGTGAGAACATGTGGTAAGTTTAGAGCATTCATCTGATTTTATTAAGTAAACATCCAAACTATTCCAGACTGGACTGCAGGCATTAGACACAAATACTAAGAAGTGTTTCCACTTTATTTTTAATAGAAAATATATGCAGTCGTGAATGCCCCAAAACTAGGCTTCAAACAAAAGAAGAAACCAGATACCACGATCGATGGCGCGAGTCGTTCAATATGCTTATCGGTCACTGGACGTCTTTCTGCCTGGTCCAGAGTCTATGTTATGTAACTGAGCTATTCTGGCAGCGGCATGTAACAATTTTCACTCACTCACGTTCTGGAGATGTAAGGGGCGGTGGGGAGCCTAGTGGTTAAACGCCGAAGACCCGGGTTCGATTCCCCATATAGGTAAAATGTGCTAAGCCCATTTCAGTTGTCCCTCGCCGTGATATTGCTGGAATATTGCTGAAAGCGGCGTAAAACCATACTCACTCACTCAATCTAAAGATGTAACATCCACACGTGTGATTGTCATTCATGTTCGCTCCAAGTATATTGAGCGACAGCTGGTAGCGCCGAACAGTAGTTATAAGCCCAGCCCCGTGATACACAACTAAAAATAATCACTCTTAATTGCTTTGTCTGTTCATACATTTCATTGTAATGTTTATCGCTATACAGATTTATATAACGATACTTTGTGTTCATCTGTAGCGCGAGGTTATGGCTGGATGTATTGCATATATGTTATTGTTTCAAATTTTATTAAATGTTTTCTGAGTATTACTGCCTGTGCTTAAAAACGTAGGTTTTACAAATCAGCATGAGAGTATCTATCACATTCTGTAAATTCATCACAGTCCGACTCTCCATTCTGTAGTACACGTTCATAGAACACTTTTACGCAACAATGACTAAAAGTTTGTCCGCTGCAATTCCTTATTTGTTCCAGTGTAAAACATTTCCGGATAAACATTGACTTGCCTTTGAATGTGTTTGTGACTGGTGCTACGGATGGGGCTACGTACGCATAGCGTTTATGCGAAAACCTCATATCATCACTGATAGTAACATATGTTTATATTTGGGATTACACTTTCTTAGTAAAGTACAGGGCGGTGGGGTAGCCTGGTGGTTAAAGCGTCCGCTCGTCACGGCGAAGTCCCGGGTTCGAATCCCCACATGGGCACAATGTGTGAAGCCAATTTCTGGTGTCCCCCGCCGTGATATTGCTGGAATTTAGCTAAAAGCGGCGTAAAACCATACTCACTCACTCACTCACTCACTAGTAAAGTACAGATTTTTGTATTTTCGTTGGGTTGATTCCCACCCCACACTGATAGTGTTTCATCTATGTTGTCGGAGTTGTACAGTGGAAAGGGACTGGGACAAGTTTTTTAATTTTTATATTTGAACAATAATAGGTCTTTGAATGGCATTTAGGAGTGATACACTTAAGGAAGAGAGTTTTATGGATGTCAACTTCTTTATTATGAGGAACACATCGTTTCCGAGCATATTTTACTCCTTCGTCCATCCTTGAACAATACTATATATTTTAAGTCAGACAGCCGTTACTCGGAAGAGGGAACTACCTGAAGTACCAGTCGTTTGCGTGAGGTTAACGGGAGGAAATGTACACAGGTTATCTAATACGTAAATATCGCATTATTCCCACCTGGAATGATCATGATATAAGCTATGCTATTTTCCTGGAAGGAAAATAATTCTGATTTATAAATGCAATCGGTGAACATGTCTATAAAACTGTTATTGATATATATGAATTTACCTGATTATAAATTACATGAATATGCATGGTGTGAGAGGTGTGTGGGGCGGGATCACGGGACTGATTGGGGTGGGATGCGGATTGGATGATGGTGGAGGATTGAAATGAGGGGTGGTCCCGATCAGTATGAGGGGTCCTCGGTTAGCATACAGGCTTACCTGTACTAAATCAGTGAGTGAGTGAGTTTAGTTTTACGCCGCAACATTTCAGCTATGCGGCGCCAGTCTGTAAATAATCGAGTCTGGACCTGACAATCCAGTGATCAACAGCATGAGCACCGATCTACGCAAATGGGATACGATTACATGTGTCAACCAAGTGAGCGAGTCTGACCATCCGATCCCGTTAGTCGCCTCTTATGACAAGCACGGGTCCACCTGTACTAAGACTCTCGACTGTGAAAAATGGAAATTGGTCTACTGAGATACTTTGTGGGTAGAATATGGAACTTTGTGATGCTGGCAATGTGTGGACAAGATATTGGTTTACTTGGAATATTGATCAATATTCAGTAGTGCAAAAAACAAACTTTGTATTTATTTCACCTATTGATAATGGTAAAACTGTTGGGGAAACACTTAAAGCCCCAAGCACAACTGTAACATCCATGATGAATCCAGCACCATTGAATAACAATTCTTGTTTTTATTGCAATTTGTAGCCACCATCAAACCTGAATGTACACTTTCTTTTATCCGGTATTGTAAATATCTTAAGCACTAATGCTGCTTATTAAACTAATAGAAACCGTCGCAATACAGGTACTTACACGTTTAAATATCAGTGTCAGAGAGATTGCATTTTTACAGAAACAGAAAAATTGCAAATATAAGCTGCCATGGCAATACCTTAAAATCTCCTGAGACTGGAACTACTGCATTAAAAGTGACTATCACAAGCATTTTAAATAAATAATCAATTAATTGTTGTTGTTTTTTAAGATGAGCTACAAAGGTCAGCCTCTGTAGAGCAATTAATGAACAATCCAAACTCTTATTTGACCTTGAGAACAATTCGTGACAATGTTCCAGAAAGGTTTTCTTCCGCGTATTTGTTTCCAGCCATAACGATTGTTGTACAAAAGGAAGTTAGTATTCTATATGGAGATTAGATACCCACCAAAATATGAAACTGAAAGCTACAGACAAATAAAGTATTCTACTTTTGAAAAATCTAAACCAATAGGCGCACTTTGTGCATTGATATTGCCTTATTTGGAGATCAGGCGATTGCTCCGTTTTGTGGGATATTTCCTGCTTTAGTCCGTTTTATGAACTAATTCCACATGTTGCTCTGAAATTGAAAAAAAAATACACACGCAGGAACAGACAACAAAAGAGAATAAAATTCATGAGAAAATAATTTACATCGAAAACTGCTTCACAGAGATGTTGATTGGAAACAGAATACATCAACTTAATATATTTTGTTGCATTTGCAATCATTTGAATGCTATTTTATATTTGGAATTAGTTTTGCATGGAGGATTTTGCATACAAAGTATTGTTTGAGATATTTAAATGAAGTCGAAGATATATCGTACAATGGAAATAGTTGTCTCTTTTTCTGAACGAAAATAATTTAACGGTCGATAGTAGACTTTTCAACACTCGCTTATGAGATAATGAAACCTTAGGTCATCATCATCATCATCATCATCATCGTTACAACATCAAAGTCTCTTTGCCAGGAAAATCCAATATTATTTCTTTTCGAAAATTCAAACCTTTATCGTGGACAGTTCAGTATACATTCTCAAATAAAAATAATTTAAACATGTATCCAGATTTCAACTTTCATTTATTCTAAGTGTCAACAAAGTATTATTTATCCTGTTGTCAACGAACTTCATTTGTCAAAAAATTCATCTATCTGGGTGTAGACAAACATGTATCTATGTGTTAACAAACGTCTAGTTATCTCTTATAGATGCCAACAAACATCCATTTATCAAGGTATTCAAATTGCACTTTGCCAGGTGTTAACAAACTTTCATTTATTCAGGCATTAACATTTCACTTTGCCACGTGTTACGAAACTTTCATTTGTTCAGGTATTAACATTTTACTTTACCAGGTGTTAACAAACTCATTTATTCAGGTATTAACATTTTACTTTGCCAGGTGTTACGAAACTTTCATTTGTTCAGGTATTAACATTTTACTTTACCAGGTGTTAACAAACTCATTTATTCAGGTATTAACATTTCACTTTGCCACGTGTTACGAAACTTTCATTTGTTCAGGTATTAACATTTTACTTTACCAGGTGTTAACAAACTCATTTATTCAGGTATTAACATTTTACTTTGCCAGGTGTTAACAATCTTCCCTTTATTCAGGTATTAAAATTTTACTTAGCAGGTGTTAACAATCTTTCAGTTATCCGGGTATTAAAATTTCACTTTGCCAGATGAAAACAAACTTTCATTTATTCAGGCATAAAAAGTTATCAGTCTCTCTCTGTATTCCAGTACTGAAGAGGCCACCGACCTATAGTCTGATAACAATAATGGTTTCCAATCACAATGTTTGCAAACGTTGTTTTCTATGCACAAAATCATTGCGGATATACATACCAAGTTTGCGAATATAAGTTGTATTGTTGGAGTTTGTTAACAAATTAAATATAAACGTGGAAGGATATAAATGGTAATATTGTGGTAGATATGATGTCCTTAAATCAGTGTAGTAAGGACATACCAGCAAAAAGTGGAACTCATCTTCAATTACATTTAATAGAGAAAAATTTGCACAATCTGTTTTCTCTTGGAATATCAATATCTTATAATATTTATAAAATTTATCTTTGCCAGGTGGTTCTTTCATTTATCCAGGTGTTGACAAACTTTCCTTTACCCGGAACAAACGTTCTTTTGGCAAAAGCTAACACATATCATTTATCCAGATGTGAGACCTCCATGCAGGTGCTAACAATTCTTCTTTTATCCAGGTGTGGGCAAGCATAAAACGTTCATACATCACCATGTTAACAAGCCTATATCTATCCAGATGTTTACAAAGTTTCGTGCATTCAGATGATAAAAAAACCTTACTTGTCCAGGTATCAACAAATTATTTTTATCCAGTTCTAAACAAATCTTCATTTTACCACATGTTAACGAACTTTTATTTATCCAGGTATGTACAAAATTTCGTTTATCCAGGCGCCAACTAACATTTATCCATTCTGCCATATTTTAGCCAGCCAACTCTACGTGTGTATAAACGATGAACGATC